AGAGCCCCTTGAAGCACTTACAATACTGGGATCATAGCATAGCCATAGMCATAAAAGCAGACAATCCAATCCCAGCCTAAGTAGTGGAACATGCATTTACATGCATTTGTTCTTTCTGTCCATGCTGACTTTGTTAATTCTGAAATARTCAGACATTTCAAAACTCAAAGAAACACAGATACAGCAGTTTTTAAGRGTTTTCTATTAGCACTGAGAAGCAAAAATAAACCATTAAATAAAACTTTTCATTTCTTCAGTTAAATTCTGTTGTAAAGTTCTAAATTAACTGAACTACTGCTATGCGTTTTTTTATCACCTCACGTGGAGGCTGGGGAAGCTTTGTGTTTTTATATGTAATATATTGCCAGCAGCACTTATCTGTACAMCATTATTACAAGTCCTTGAGTGTGTTTCTCTAAGGCTTAGGATTTAAAGCCTGAGCAATATCTCAGTCAGTTCATTAGGAGTCTTTATGTGTTTTTTTTTTGTTTTCTTCCCCTCACTAGAGTTATTCAGTACGGCATAAGAACATAGGGAAAAACAAGTGGCTGTAAGCTGAAGGAAGAAAAAAAATTCAAATTAGGATTTAGGTGCAAAGTATTAAACATTCAGGATAATAAAATATTGTATTGCATACTGAAAAAACATACTGAAACCTCTAAGTAATGGCAGATGTTCTCCAAGAAGATGTGCTTTAGTTGAACACAAATTACAGGGTTACTGAATAACTTTTAATGGCCTGTTCTACATGGGATATCAAACCACATCCTCTAATAATCGCTGTCAGCTTCAGGCAAGACCATTTCAGACCTAGCACTATACAAAATTACTTCCTGATCATAACCATATTCCCAGTCACTTTGCATCACAGCCTCTATGCTTTTAATCTTCGCTGTTTTTAGATACTTTTCTATCATGCCTCTCAGTATGGTGGCCTCCCTAGGTTTTTGAGATACAAAAACCTGAGTTTTTGAGTCTGTTTTTCATTCTTTTTTGGTGCCTCTCAATTAAAGGAGAGTATCCTCTTTAAGGATACTCATTCTCTAAAACATTCTTTGATTCTTTGCTTTTCTCCCTTTACATATTGCTCCTGGCTAATCCTCCAAGATAATTTAATTTTATGCAAGATTTCTTGTAAATTTATGTTTTGGGGTTGTTTTTTTGTTGWCRTTCTCTTCTGCATAAYTCCCAACTCAACCCAATCCCAGATCTCGGAATCTGTTAAGAATCATTCATCTTGATCAGTTTGTCTCTGTCTATTTTTTGTCTTACCATCTGCAAAAAGGGTCAAAACAGATCTCTTAATCTCACCTTTCTAACTTCATTCTGCTGCCTCCTGGGTTCACTGTTGCCAACACATTTCTCATCAGCCAGCCCTACACATGTAGTGATGCTCAAATTCAGCTAAAAGCTGTGGGCCTGATCTCTCAGGCTCTTGATGATGTCTCACTGCTGAAGACACAAGATTAGCAGAAAATCATGTTTTGGTTTTTGTTTTTGTTTTTTTTTTTTTTTTTTCAAAGCATTAATTTTATAGCTATTTAGCTTTCTGAAGCAGATTCCAGCACCACCAGACATGCAGCAGGGCCAGTGAAGTACAGCAGTTAAAATAAATTACTGTATGATTACCCTACACCCCAGCAATATTTTCCTGAAGTCTTAGCCTCCTCTTCCTGTGTTTTCACACCCATGCTGAATTCAAACCATGAATACTTGCTCCTTAATTACTTCTGGAATACATTTATTTTCTTTGTGTCATTGCCTCCACCCTCCTTGTTTGGATTAATTTTCCTCGGCATTAGTAGCCGCAGCAGCTTCCAAATGCCCACTTCTTCTCTCAAAGCCAGGCAAAAATGCACCCAAGGCCTTTCCCATTTCCTTGATGGATGTGAGTCTCTTCTGCCAAGTACCCTTTAACTTGCTATACTGCTGTTCTCTGTGCCAGCCTTTACAACACCTCGGAAGCTCTGTGTATTCCTGTCCTTCAGGGGATTCACACAGCACATCCCTTCATTACCAGGATTCCCTGGGACACCTTGCTTTCCACTGGCATCTCAGTAACCATGCACAGTCCTTCTCAGTCACCTGGTATGAGTGACAAAGTCTGCCCAGGCTACCAGAGCTTTTAACCATCTGCTTTAGATACCTTTCTTTTTCCTGCTTGTTCAACCTTTTCTTGTTGCTTATCAATGCTTATACAACCTAGGTACAAATTGTTTCTTGTTGTCTTTCTCAACCTCTTGTCTTTTTGCTTAATGTTTTATTCTAAGTGAGATCTCTTTAAGGAAGGGAGTTGTCCTTCATCAAACAAGGGAGAAGCACCCATGGTGTTATGGTCACTCCTGTAGATAATTATTTTATGAGTTATACTAAAACAGAGATACATGTAGAAGCTAAATTGCACTCCTCTGTAGTTTGGCAGTTTTATTATGTGCTGTACAGCAATCAAACATGACAGAGTTTACACTTGCATGTGTCACCACCCTCTCTACAATCAATAAACTCACTGCTTGTCTTCTCTTTTTCTCTGTTGCCTTTTTCCCCCACAGCTGGAAGACGATATTATAGCCAAATCTGATTATATGGAAAACATAAAAAGCTTTGCTGCTCAACAGTCCCAAGACTGGATCRTTCTTGAGTTCTCCCAGCTTGGATTTATTGGTAAGTACTAACACCACATTACATGGTGCTTCTGTGTAGATCAAAAAGGTCTCATTCAGAATTACATCTCAAAGTATGGAAGGACTTGAATGTCAAAACTTCCTTGATTCTTCACGAAATGTCCTGCTGAAAATCTTCTACTTTCTGCTCTCTTTAAAACTGTCTTTTTAATACAGTCTCCTCAGCATTGAATCTAGAGTTGGGTTCCCATAAGAAGGAATTTGTTCCATCTCAGGGAGCTACGTGCCCCTGTAATGTGTCGTCTTCTTTTCACAAATGGAATTTGAACAATCTATTAAAAAAAAAACAAACAACATTGCCTTCCTTTCCCTTGTGGAGGAGAATATGCATCCCATATCATAGGGCTGGATGATCAGGAACTCTCCAAAGCCAAAATCCATGTGAAATTTTTCATTAACTGTCAGAATCACATTTATGTGTGTAAGGCTGGTGTGTTACTTACACATTTATTTAAATAAATTACATTTAAACATAAAGCTGGTGATTTTCACATAGCAATAAAAATATTTTTTCTTGCCTTGCTTTCAGGAAAATTGTTTAAATCAGAAGACTTACCCCTCATAGTGGAATTTTTTCTCATGTTCTATAAGGATAAGCCCATAGACTGGCTTATAGACCACCTGCTCTGGGTTAAAGTGTGCAATCCAGAAAAGGATGCAGTAAGTATCACTGTGAATTTATGAAYACAAGTAATATTCAAACAGTCACAGTAACAAAATTTATTTTGAAAAAGTGGAATATAAATCTCTCAAACTGGACTTACTTTGGACTGACCAGAGTTTCTGCTCCTTCTTGGGTTTTAGGGTTCAGGAGTTTCAACTGCTCCAGGATTTGCATGTGTTACTTTTGTGCTGATAAAGGAGCAAGAAGAGACAGATAGAAGTTGTGCAGAGCAGGAGATTAAGGGGTGCAAAACAAGCAAGCTTCTACTTTTACCCCATAACAAAAGCCACTTCTGGGGATAGCAGAAGGTCCCTGGTTTTACACTTAGTAGTGCCCTGCAGGGTCTCCATACCCACTTCATACAGATAGGAGCAAGCTTTTAAATCCTACTCTCTGGGTTAGGCCAGCTCTAACTTAGGAGTTAGAGTGAGCCTCAAGGAATTCAAGTAAGTTCTTGCTTGCCTGTGATAACAGGATAAAAACCAGATCCTATTTTGTTGACACCTCCCATTCCAGATCTAACATGTGCCAACTTCCATCTGATAGATGAAATATTTTACTTTTATTTTTTTAAATGGCTGTTCCACCTTCTAAGACCTGATTCCTACCTAAAATGGAGCTGTGTTCCTGAAAGGCAGGCAGGCAGCTCGTGGAAGTCTGCTCTGACCAAGCCAAAGCAGAGTGGTGTCTGCAAGTTTCTATTGAGTTTCACTTCTGCATTTGCAATTTCAGTTAGAAATTTTCAATTTGCAAACCAGGTAGAGGAAACCTATGGAGAGTCTCACACGGCCCTTGGGTGGGAATGATGAGTGGCATGAACTGCTGGGACTATTCATGAGAAWGCAGAAAATGGACACTGGGAAATGGCTGGGGATCCCAGCTGCTGAAAATGCAGGAAATGGATGCTGGGAGAAGGCTGGGGATTCCAGCTGCTGAATCTTCTCTGGCAGGTTAAAGCAGTGAATTTTCCTGCAGGCACCATGGAAGGCAAGCTGACAACTCCTCACACTTTCATCTTTCCAAGCAACTAAGAGTGCAGCAAAGTGATCACACACTGTGCTTCACAGGAGGGTCAGCAGGGCACCTGTTTGTGGTTTCTGTGTGCCGACCTGTGGTGATGGATGTTTAGCATCAGTTTACATAGAATCATAGAATTGTCTGGGTTAGAAAGGACCTTRAAGATCATCTYGTTCCAGCCCCCTGCCRYGGCAGGGTCAGCTTCCACTAGACCAGGTTTCTCAGAGCTCCATCCACCCTGGCCTTGATCTCCAGGAATGGGGCATCCACAGCTTCCCTGGGCARCCTGGTTTTGTGCCTCACCATCCTCACAGAAAAGAGCTTCCTCCTAACATCTAATCTAAACCTACTCTCTCTTAGTTGGAATCCATTCCTTCCTGTTCTGTCAATCCAGGCTCTAGTAAGAATTTCTCTCTATCTTCCTTACAGGCTTCCTTCCTGTACTGGAAGGCTGTAATTGGATCACCCAAAAACCTTCTCGTCTCCAGGCTGAACAATCTCAATTCTCTCAGCCTCTCCTGATAGCAGGGGTGCTCCAGCCCTGTGGTGGGCTTTGGTGGCCTCCTCTGAACTCAAATTCAATACAGGTCCATGAGAGGTCCATGAGACAGGTCCATGTCCTTCCTGTGCTGGACCCTAGTGCTGGATGCAGCCCTGCAGATGGGGTCTCACCAGAGCAGAGCAGAGCAGAGCAGAGGGGCAGAATCCCCTCCCTCCCCTGCTGCCCTCGGTGCTTTGGATGAGCCCAGGACACATTTGGCTCTCTGGGCTGTGAGTGCCATGGCCGGGGCATGTCCAGCTTCTCCTCCAGCAGCATCCCCAAGTCCTTCCAGGCAAGGCTGCTCTCCATCCGCTCATTCCCCAGCCCTGGATTGACACCAGAGGTTGCTCTGACCCAGGTGCAGCACCTTGCATTTGGTCTTGTTAAACGTCATGAGAATCCCATGGGCCCACTTCTCAACCTTGTCCAAGTTTTCAGTCTGGACTGACTATTAACGTATCAAGGTTCAACTACGTCTGCTCACCAAGTTGGAAAAGACAGTTTGTGATGGTCAGAGCCATCAGATCTCTGCRTGTTTGAGAAACTTTGTGATGCTTACCTCCTGTGAGCCATCATCCACTGCTGGGGTCCCCAATAAAAAAAAAAAAAAGCTACAAAGTTGTTAGAGCATGTGCAGAGGCCACAGAAATGATCAGAGGGCTGGAGACAGACTGAGGGAGACGGGCTGAAAGAGTGAGAGCTGTTCAGATTAGAGAAGGCTCCTGGGGAGACCCTATAGCATCTTCCAGTACCTAAGGGGGGCTTACAGGAAAGAGGGAGACAGCCGTTTCTGCCTGTTGTGACAAGACAAGGGGCAACAGTCCTAAACTGAAATAGAGTATATTTAGATCRGATATAAGGAAAACATTTTTTGTGGTGAGGGTGGTGAGTCACTGGCACGGGTTGCCCAGGAAAGCTGTGGATGCCMCATGCAGTGTTCCTGACCAGGCTGGATGGARCTCTGAGCAACCTGGTGTGGTGGAAGGCGTCCCTGTCCATGGCAGGGGTGTCAGAACAAGATGATCTTTGCAGGTCGCTCTGAACCCAGCCATTCTGCGTTTCTGTGAGCAYATGCAGTGGCCTGTGTCTGTCACGTACAAAGGGGACTGGGAGGCTGCAAGGGTGGAAGCCCTGACTCAGTGAGCAGCCTTATCTCAGCTTCTGCAGAAATAACGACACCAGCCCAGTGCCACCGATTATCCTCAACCCCTGCTAGGAGTGGCTCTTTCGGTAGTGCTGCCACAGCATAGAACAAGACATTCTAGAGCCTGCGTTTTTACAGGCATGAAATGCAAACCCTATCAGTAGAAAGATCAGAAWTTTATTTTCTTTGAATGATTCCTTCTTTTCTGAAGTATAATGTGCCTTTCAAAGAAACAGCTGCCAGTAAATCAATTTGCACACAATGTATTGCAGTTTTACWTTGTTTTGCTGAACATCTGCTGTGGACAAAAACAAAAACACTTAGTTCTTTTTATAGCTTTCCAGGTCATTTTGAACTTTTAATTAGGACTACTGTGGAAATCATAAATCCCTCATGAGTTTTGGTGGTTTTAATCCAGCTGAGTGAAAACTTTTTAACTTCTGGCTTAAAAAGGCATTGATGTAGTTGATGTAACATTTTTCTTTTATAGAAATGAAAGCACTTGACAGAAAAGCGCATTATCTTGCAAATTTTAAGGTGTCAGATCTGGAGTACAGAAAGGTTAAATGATCTTCCARACTCATATAATAATTCAGTGGCAGCACCAAGAGACAACCTAGGGAGTCTCATTTTAGCTCTTTGCTATGTTCCATGCTATTATGCGTTATTGTCTTACTAATTACTGTGGCGTGTTTGTGCCACTGTATCAAACTATGATGCTTTACAGATACAGAGGAAAAAAACCATTTAAAAAGTAGTTTGCTCTCATTCAAAATCAAGAAACTCCAAAATTAGTACCAATTCCAGTTATTTAATTCCTTAGTATGTGTCATGTCACAAGAGTAGTAAACTGGAAAATTGTGGTTGAAATACAGTATTTAAGGGCTTTATCTAATTACATGAGAAAAGATCCATAATTTATAGTACATTAAAAGCCTYTCAAACACAACAGAAATAGGCAAAATTATAAAGACTGGAATGTAAACAGAATCTACCTTAAGGTCAGTTTTGGCCAAAATAGTTTAATTAGAATGATATGGCAAAGCTAAGAGTTTAAATAAAATCTGCCAGAAACAGCTAAGAAATCAATCAGTTTCATATTTGAGTTACTTGGAGATGTGATTCATGRCATACTGTGCAGAAATCCTTGAATTACTGGTAGCTGATCCTTCAAATCTATCTAACACCATGTGTGGAATTATAAGTTTTGGTCTAGAAACAGTGTATGTGACAAATGGTGACTGTTTATCAAAGGATTACTGATTTAAACATGGATAAAAAATCTGGACCCATACCCTCAACTACATAATGAAATTGTCTTATGGAATGTAGTTTTTCTCTCCTTGGTTTAAATAATCCTTCAATCCCTCTTACTTTCTTTCCAGACACACTGTGAAAAGGAAAAATCAAAGTTACGCATCCGTGCTAAACCATCTCTCTTTCAGCATATGGGAGTTCATTCATCATTGGCTGGGAAGGTACAGAATTTGAAAGTAAGAATAAGACATTTATATGCAGCCCTATTTATAAATTACATGCTTGTATTTTAACTTGTTTCTCAAATGAGTTTCAAGGATCGCATCTTTGGCACYGGATGGCATCTCCACATGCAAGTATGTTGTTTTCCAGATTTGGTAGAGAATATTGATCTGGCATCTAAGCTGCAGGTGGGGTACACTGCTCCTACACAAACATTTTTGAATCTCTCTTCTGAGCAGCAGCTTTTCATGGCTTGTAGGAACCCTGTTCACTACACAGGTCTTCAGATGCTCTGCTYCATGCAAACAAAGCCATGATGGTGTTTTTTTGACTGGGCAGTTTACATTCCCAATATGAAGGACAATTAAGTAGATAGTATTGGTATGCTAACGTGATGGCCACAGATTTCTGAGGAGAGTTTGGAGGGTAAACTACATACCTCATAAGGACAAGAGTAATGGTGCAACAGTCTTCAGAAATCTCCTGATGGTGCCATCTAGACAAGATTTCTCAGTTGGATCAGACTAGAGATTCAAGTAGCCTTTAGCAGAGACCAGCATCACATTTTCTGGCAGAAGGCATCCTACATCCTAGACAACTAAGAAATAGCCTCCTGTGGAGATAGTAATTTTTAAATCTTGGCAACTGAGAAATAATCAGTACAGCTCTGTCTACAAATTGTAACACTGAGTCCTAGTCATTACAATGAAATGAATTTTTTGTATCTATTAAAAAATAGAGTGTATATTTTTTGACACTGAGGCAATTATTTTCTGAAATAGCTTCCTGTAATAATTRCAGATATCAATGCACTTTTTTTCCATTTTATGAGCAAAACTGCATTTCTTTATATCCAACAGGATAAAGATTTTGGAAAAAATCTGCTATATAAAGCACATAATAATCCACCTGCAAAAGTGGATACAAGCCTAAAAATATACCAGCAATATACCCTKGAAAAAATTTATAAAGGACAAGACTGTTTTTGGGCTTCAGCTCCAGTGGCAGGTGACTACATCAGGTTCACATTTTTAAATCCACTAAAAGTTGAAAAGTAAGTATTACATCATAGAGAACATGGAGGCCTACATATATTCAGTTTGGAAATGACTGAGTCTGTCATTATGTCTGAAATGTCTGAAATTATCAGTGCTCAATGCTCAATTTGCATAAAACTTGTTACTGACAAAAAAATCCATGATTTGCTATTTATCTGCTCTTCTTCTTGAACTTCCCCCTTGAAWTACATTTCTTCCTTGGTAATTAGAGAGCTCCTTAATTTTTTTCCTTTTATTTCTTCAGGTAAGTATTTTACACTCATGATAATTCTCAATGGCTTTTTTTAAACTAATTCATTTCATCAATGGAGTCGATGAAAGCTTAATTTGTGTAGTTGCCAACAGAAAGGCTGTTTGCATGACGTCARGTCTGTATCTCCACCTAGTGAGCTGCAGTGAGTGACAGTTTTTATAATAAACACTGGTGTTCTGTGTGAATTAACTGTTTTCTGCTTTATGAAACTTGGGTAGGCTGTAGTTTTGCATGTTCCTGCTACTGGGAAGTTAATTTACATTTGGTATTGTTTTATGGMTGGTCCCAGCCCCATCACATTGCTGATCTGTGAGAATATATGGTTAATCCTATAATATTTGGTGGTCTTAGGCCTTGAATATTTGATACCAGAGAAGAGAACTTGATGTTTTATATTCTCTTAGTTCATTTTGGATCTAAAACCCTATGAACTTTTAATGCCAGAAATTTAAAACCTAACAGAGATTTTTATTTTAAAATGTTTTTGCTTGGATTCTGGATTTTGTCAATGCTCTTGCTTATTGGCTATTAGGGGAATTGTTTAAGAGCACTGGAATTGATCAGTATTGATAAAAGAGGGGAATTCTCCTGGCATGTAGTATATGGTCTAGTTGAAACAGAAATTTTTGCTGCCATTTGCCTTCCTGAAGCCCATCCTACTTCAGTCTTAAAATTACAGGCACAGGTCAGAGGGCAGATCTTCCTTAGCCATTAAACATGGGAAATTAATTTATTTGAAAATTGAGCACTAAAAAGGGGAACGCTTGCATTTGTGGTTCCAGAAAAAGGTGTTTTAAATGTTTGTCCTACTTAAAATAAAAAGACTCTATTATGGTTTGTKTTATAGTTTCAAGGCTCATTTCTGTTCTTTAGAGCCCAAAAATGTATAAAGAAAAGGTATCTGAACTTTCCTTCAAAACTGGAAAGAATTACTTTAGAACACTTCTAAGTATAAAATACCTGAAAATAACATACCTTTATCATCAGGTACTTGTTCAGAAGTGGAAACATGGAGCACCCTGGTGATAAACTGTTTAACACTACTGTGGAAGTGCTGCCAGCTGATGTAAGTCTCTCRTTTCCAATCGTATTTCAGTTTTCAGAATGATATCCAGCATAAAATGTCATACCCTAAAAGACACTTGTGGAAATGCTTTTGTTTTGTTTTTTACAGGAAAGGCTAAGAAGAGAACTGGTTGATAGTGGAAGYAAATTTAACTACCCAGCAACCAAAGACGGATATTTAAAAATAGGTAAATTGTTTACTGTCACTTCAAAACTAGAAATTTTCTTCCTATGTATAAAATGTTCCTGCTTTCAAGGATTTCATTAACTCTGTAATAAATTCAACATTCCAAGGCAAACTAGTAAGGAAAAGAAACTGCTGCATATTGTAGTGTATGGTGTTTCACCAATGGCTCTCCTATTTTGGTTTAAACATGACCAGTGGTAAAAGCCAAGATATCTAATTAGTAAGGAAAATTAATTACAGTTCCTGCAAAGGGTTTGCATGGCAAGGCTTTGGTAACAGGGGGGATGAAGATGGAGCCACGGGGGTGGCTCCTGTGAGAAGCTGCCAGAAGCTTCCCCTGTGTCCAGTGRCAGCCAGCTTTAGGATGGAACCTCCACTGGCCAAGGCTGAATCCATCAGTGATGGGGGTAGTTCCTCTGGGATAATGTATTTTAAAAAGGAATGGAAAAACTGAAACAGCAATTGCAGCTGGAGAGAGGAGGAAGAATATGTGAGAGAAAAAACTCTGTAGACACCAAGATCAGTGAAGAAGGGGGATAAGGATGCCATGCTGACTGCCCTGAGGAGGGAGGAGCAGCAGAGACAACATGTGATGAACTGACCACGACCCCCATTCCCTGTCCCCCTGCACCCTGGGGGTAAGGAGGTAGACGAAAACAAGAGTAAAATTTACCAAAGAGTAAAATTTACTAAAGTTTGATCAAGAAGAAGGGAGGGGTGGAGGAAGGTGGTCCTAAGATTTGTTTGTTTTTTTTCTCATCACCCTACTCTCATACAAAGAGGTAATWTTTTATTTCCCAAGTCAAGTCTGGCTTATCCACAGTAATTTGTGACTGATCTCTCCGTGTCCTCATTTCAACCCAGGAGTCTTCTCCAAAAGATTTTTCTTTTCCCCCCAATATGTTCCTGGATTTAATTTATAATTTGTAATATAGATCTTTTTCACAAGTTTGCTTGGAAGTGTATTTCATTCTAATAAATGTTCATATGGGTCTTGGTTTGCTTTTAATTTAAGGGGCTTTTGAAAATGGCCTTGCAGAAGGCAGCATCAATCAGTCAATAGGAAGAATACAGGCTATTCGTTTATCAGTCACTTCTGATTCTCCTGTCTGGGCAATACTGAGTGAGGTAAGCATGTCAATAAAAGCATTTTTATTACTCATTATTGAATGAGTTTTGGTTCTTTCAATCATATAATATTGATAATAATTAATTTTATTTAATTTTGAATGGAACTTTGTGTGGAAAAACACACACAAGTGGAGAATTATATTATTTTCAGGAGAGGTGAAATTTACTTCATCGAAAGTGCTAGAAATGCTCAAATGGGATGATTCTTCACTGATTTTGCAGTGCTCTAAGTGTAGTTGCTAGTATTTGGGATTTGGTAAACAAACCTTTTATCAGTCACCATCTTGGATATGAACCACATTATGTCAACATTTTCAGATGAACATGGGATTTTTTAATTCTTCCAAGTTTTTCTCAACTGTTTGAATGCCAATTAGTCCATAAATAGAAAATGCTCAGCAGAAGTCACAGAGAGAATTACTATAACCTTAAACCCTAGCCATAGCCACAAGAAGGGAGAAACTAATGTCRTAGGTGAAGCTTCTGCAGACTTTAGAAAATAATAGATTTTGGTTTTTTCCAGGTATTTATCAAGACATCTGAAAACTGAAGAAAATACATTTTTGATGTATCACTGGTTACATATTGTTTGAAGACAAGGCTGACTGCAACAACAAAAAAAAAAAGGACTGGGTAAAAAGATCAATTCCAAACCCATTTAATGACTAATAATGTGTATTAGGAAAGAGCTGAGGTAACTCTCAGGTCTTTATATGGCAAAGTATAAAAACACAATTATGTTAGTAATTTCTAGAAAATGTTCTTGAGTAATATATATAAAAATCTCACCTTAGCCTGACAACATTAGATAGATATTATTATAAACTATKGATAAGGCATAACAGCTGGCTTCAGGGACTAAAGCATAAAGCACAAAAAGTTTCACCAGAAATAAAAATACAGATATTTTTGAAAAACATTAAGGACACAGTGTTCAACTCCATTAAAAACACTGGTCTATTTTTCAGGGAAATTAGAACKGAAGGAAAAGTTGTCAATATTCATTTCAAGTATTTAAAGTAGTTCACAGGAGCATCTTAATGTTATGAAAATGGATCTCAAATTTAATATAAGTGTGTTTCAGCCTTAATGTAGCATAAGTTATTTTTTTTAAAAGGGAAGTGCCTACAAGTTGTCATTTGAATAACTTGAAACTTAAGCAGGTACTGTTTGGAAGATTGTAAAACTTCTCAGYGAATTGTGAATTAAATTAATTACAGGAAATAATAAGGGTATTATCTGTAACTATATTTTTGTAGAAAGAAAATATATTTAAATAAAATTTTGGATCGTATAATTAGATAATCAGCGTGTACTGATAATTCAATCCTCATCACAAGTCAAAATTCAACATAATTAAAAAATAAAAAGTAAACCACTGTAGTCTCATTTGAAAAGCTTTTGGGAAATTACATCTCACCTTGGACATCTACCTGCTAATTTGCAGAATTCTGGTATCACTTCCTGAGCACTTGAAGCATGACTGCACCCTCGTTTCCCTGCACAGGCATTGCATCCTGACAGCAGGAAGTAAATTGTGAAGTGTGGATTGTATTGAATGGGTTACATTAATGTAGAATTGTATTCTTAATGCCAGAGTGGTTTGCATTTAGAATGAGATGAAGTTCAYTTTTTTACATTAAAACAGTTCAGAWGAGTGKTTTTTAAAAGMCCACYTCTAGTAATATCTTGACACTATTAYKTAGAASATTATTGYTTATTWTACATTATTTATTTAGRTTATTATTTACARAATTGCTTATACACTGTGGTGCTAYATAAATGTGCATGTAGATACATATATGTACATATATGTGCATATATTTCGTTGRCCAAATATTGCAGCCTTCATTCGGTAAGGAGTTTAATGTCAGTTAAGAATTAGTGCAGGAATCCAGCATGCTTAGAGATACATGGGGGGACACATTTATCCATCAGCACTTATAGTGAAAATATAAAACCTTTATTTTGCCATTGCTTTCACTGCAACAGATTCACTGTTGGGACTGGGGTCTGCATTCAAGGTGCCTTACACTCACTTGTTGCAGGGCAGTGTTACTAAGGAGGAAATTACATAGCAATTATTAAATCAGTGAAAACATAGAATATACTTATGTAATAGATTYTGCTACCAAAACATCTTATTTTCACAGTGAAATGAGATTTCACTCTAATTGTTGAAGCATACTTCAAAAACCTCATCAGAACACCTTAAATTGCATTAAGAAGTGACTGGATTTAAAAAAAAGAATTAAAATGTTATTTTTTTATTCTGTGCTGGCAGCTTGGTGCTTCACTAATTGTTTCTGGTTTTACATATTTTACATAACTGTTGCAGTCACAGAATACCCTTCCCATCTCTCTGATGTAAATGAGGTTTTAGTTGATGTTGTAAATAGTTAATGCTGCACAAGAACCATGAATTCTTCCCTATGCTTTTGCAAGTGCAGAGGTTTCTTGCACAGTCTGCAGAACCACAGCTCCACTATAAAACCAAAAGAACCTAAGA